AATGATTGATCCGGCTCAATCAGCATCAGCAAAAATTTCAACTCCTTGTTGTTCATTTTTCTTGAACAATAATCCTTTTCTTGGAGTGCTCTTTAAGTACTTTAGAATCCTATAAACAGTTTCAAGATGCTTTTCGTATGGACAGTTCATGAATTGACTCACTAAACTAATTGCAACGGCGATGTCTGGTCGAGTGTGTGACAAATATATCAGTTTGCCTACCAACTTCTGATATCGTTTTGTATCAACAGGAGTTCTTTGTCACTTTTTCCTATTTTCAAGTTGTATTCGACAAGAGTATCAGTCGATTTGCAGCCACTCATACCTATTTCTTTTAGGAGATCAAGGATGTACTTTCATTGTGAGGCAGTTATGCCTTTCTTGGACCGTGCAACTTCCATTCCAAGAAAGTACCTCAATGATCCCAAGTCCTTAATTTTAAATTCCAAAGCTACAACCTGTTTTAGCCTTTTTATTTTGAGCAAGTCATCTCCAGTAAGAATAACATCATCCACATAGACAATTAACACTATTATTTTCCCTTCATGTGAAAATTTCATGAACAAGGTGTGATCAGTTTGCCCCTGAATGTAACCTTGTTTCTTTATCGAATTGAGTGAATTTATCAAACCATACTCTAAATGATTGTTTGAGTCCATATAATGACTTCTTTAGCTAGCACACCTTTGATCCAAATTTTTCAGTGAAACCCAAAAGAGAGTCCATATAAACTTCTTCTTTCAAATCTTTGTTGAGAAATGCATTTTTAATTCCAATTGTTGCAATGGCCAGTCCAAATTTGCAGCAATTGATAATAGCACTCTCACTATGTTTAGTTTGGCCACTGGAGTGAATGTTTCTAAGTGGTCAATACGATATGTCTAAGTAAATCCTTTCACCACTAGTTGAGCTTTATATCTTTCTAGGGAGCCATCAGAATTGTATTTCACTGTAAATACCCATTTACAACCAACTGTGGATTTTTCTTTAAGCAAAATCATTACTTCCTAGCTCTTATTTTTCTCAAGAGCTATCATCTTTTTAAGTACAAGTTCCTTCCATTTAGGAACTTTAAGAGCATCATGTACATTTTTAAGAATGTCTATACTAGATAATTGAGAAGTAAATACAAGAAAAGAGGAAGACAACTTTTCATATGACACCAAATTAGATAATAGATGTTTAGTACATTCTCTAGTACCTTTTCTAAGAGCAATTGGAACATCTAAATCATTAACAAACTCAATTTGGGAATCAGGCTTAAAGAAACTCGATTCAGATATGGATTTACTTGGAGAATTGATAGAAATTTCATATATTCTCAAATTAGATTCCTGGACTGCTGCAAAGTGGACTACTTTTTTCTTTGATCAGGATTCTTTCTTGAATAAACAATGAATTCATTCAATTTTTTACTTGGTTTTTCACAAATTTCTAGTTCTAGGTAATTTTCTGATAACACAACAGGGGGCTGTCCATTGCTTTTAGCATTTAACATTTTTGTTTCCATGGTAATCTCGAGTATTTCTGAAGTAGGGTTTGCAAGTATCTCTAAATTTAGGGTAGACATCACATGTAGCATTTCTATCTAGATGTCAAAGACAAAATCTTCATTTTCATTCTAAGGTTTGCAAGTATCTCTGAATTTAAGGTAGACATCATAGGTGGCATTTCTATTTAGATGTCAAAGACAGAATCTTCATTTTTACTCTCCCCCTGAAGATGATAATTAAAATCATATTTTTTTTTAAAAAAAATAAGTGACATATATAGTAACAAATATCTTTTCAAAATGGGATCAAAACATTTGTATCCTTTTTTGTGTTGGAGAGTAATAAATAAAAACATATTTCTTTTACTCTTGGATCAAGTTTTCCCTTGTTATAATTGTGAATGTGAACAAATGCAATACAACCAAAATCTTTAGAGGAATATTGACCAAAATCCTTGATGTGGGAAAACATTTTCGAATAAATCTGAGGGAGTTTGAAAATGTAATACCTTTAATGGCATCCTATTGATCAAATAAGTGGCAATAAGAATAGCCTTCCGTCATAAATATTTAGGAACCTTAGCTGTAAATACTTAAGATCTAGAAACCTCAAAAAGATGTTTGTTTTTTCCTCATTATAAGAACTTTGGAGGACAATACCATTTTTCTCAAAATATTTTCCCAAAATTTTATTAAAATATTCTTTCCCATTACCACTTCAAAATTTTTTAATATTTGTTTAAAACTAAGTTTCTGACTTTTCTTTTAGTAAATATACCCAAGACATACGAGTATGATTATCAATGAAAGTGGTAAACCATCTTTTTTCTAAAAGTGTAAAAGTTCTAGAAGGTTCCCAAACATCACTATGAATTATAGCAAAAAGTTTTGATGCTTTATATGGCTGTGAGGGGAATGATGCACAGTGGTGTCTTGCTAACTCACAAATTTCACTGAAGATGGATTCTTATTGATGAATAACTTTGGAAGCAAATATTTTAAATACTGAAAACTTGGATGTTCTAACCTTAAATGCCATAAAAAATTTCATTATCACTAACAATAGATATGGATTTGAGACAAGTACTTTAAGATTGTCTTTTTAAGTCAATTCCATCTTTAAAGAAGTAAAGTCCTCCACTTTGTCTAGCATTGACAATCATCTTTTCAGAGTTTAAATCCTGGAATTCACATTTAGAAGAGAAAAAATTAACATGACAGTTTTGATTATCAATTAATTTGCTAATAGACAACAAATTACATGACAGATTAGGGACATGAAGAACATTATAGAGTGTAAGAAAGGGAAAAAGAACTATGCACCCTTTTCCAATGATAACCGTAAAAGATCCATCAGCTATTTTGATTTTTTGACTCCTTGCACAAGTTTTAGGAGAACAAAACATATTAGAAGTTCCAATCATGTGATTAGTTGCACCGAAATTAATGATCCATGGATGACAAGGAGTGGAACAACACTAACTAAAGCTGTTGTGAGATGGTTACCTTTTTAGGCAAATGAACAAGATGAAGACGGATTAGAGTTTACATTAAAAAAGGGAGACTCTTGGTGAAAGGAAGCATTTTCGAAGTGATTTGTTGCACTTGATTAGTATTGGACACCTAGAAAGCTCTGTTATCTCCATTAGTTTTTGCCATCTCCAAATTTTCTGATTTAAACTCAACTCTCTAGCTCTTATACCTTTGTTAGTTTTTTAAAATAAAAAATTCATCTTCACTCTTATTTTCATAGAAAACAACTATAAAATAAATAAACTAAAATGGATAACAAAAAAGATTAAAAAAAAATTTTAAAAAAAAAACAGAAAGATAAAAAAACTCAAAAAGATAAGAACTAAACCTTATCCTAAAGATAAGGAATTTGACTTTATTCCTTATCTAACTCTTAAATATTCTACACACCCCCATGGTAATTAATTTCTCCACAGCTTCTCTTTCCTTTGTTTTGGCTAATAGATCGAGGAGAATCCCCACCTCTAACATTTTTTTTTTTTGCTTCTTTCCCAAGCACTCTATTTTCATCAAATAGATTAGCTTCTTCATCAGTCTTCGGTTCTTTTCTTTCATTCTCTTGTAGAATATCTCTGGTTTGGATCCTTTTCCCCTTTTTTAGTTTCCTACTATCTTTGTGTTTGTGCCACTAGTCTAAGCTACACTCATTCACCAACATAAACTTCTTGTTTCTTTTTTCCATTCTTAGCCCACGACTGGATACAAGGTAATCTTCTTTAATTGGGCCTTGTTGATTATCTAATGGTATTGGGCTAACAACTATCGGTGTCTCCTTATTTAGCTCTTTTTTGTCTGGTATCTCCCACTTGCTAATATTTGGGCTGGAATTCACTCCCAGTTGCACATTAACCCTCTTATTTTTTTAAAAGCCCATCATGATGGACTGTTGGGCTATTATTTACTTTTTTGGAGTTCCCAACAACACATTCTCTACCTCCCATCTGTGTTGCTTCATCTAGTGGGACCCTTTCAACCATTAGATCCTCATAGGTTCCCTTATGGAATAACTTTGATTCATCCGAGACTTCTTGAAAAGACAAAACTTTTGAAAGATTCTGTAAGTTAATTACTCCTCCAGCTATGTTTTTATTCCTCGATAATTCGTTACAATGATAGTTGTCCCTCCTTCTGCAACTTTCGCTTAGCTGTTCCTCTTCTATGTCTATTGACTATACATCTTCATTCACACCTTTCCAACTGCCCAACCCTCCTTCATACTTGTGAGTGTTGTGTTCTTCCTCCCCCGACGTTTCCGATAAACTGAAGCTCAACAATGAAGTGGCTGTCATTGCATTTTGAATCTTCTTTACCCCAAGATTCCAAAGAAACTCGGGACCATCTTCAATTATCATATTAATAACGTAACTTCTTCCATTAAGACGCAATGAAAATGAACTTGGCAGATGGACGTCCTTCTTTACTAGAGATAAAACTCTAGCCACATCTGATCTTTTTTTGCTCATTATGATATTATTTAGAATGATGAAGCTTCCCCAATGGTTCCCAATTCTTTTGAAGACTCCATAACTCCACGCATGCAGAGGAACATTTTCTAATTTCGGCCGTACAAACTTATCATATGAAATAAAATCATCATTCCTCGGTTTTGTCCAAAAAACCACTTTTTGAGCCACATTTATTTTTCTTCCAACATACCTAGCATTTCATCCTTTGATTCGAATGACAGCGATACCATACTACCTCCCATTACCATGACTGACAACTGTAACACACCCTGACTGGTAATGTGATGTTTTAGCAAGTGGATGGTTTGTGGATTCTTGACCTCTGCGACTGCACATTTTTCCAACCAATCCTTTTCTAGTTCATCTTCTTCCAAGGGGGCCTGGTTTCTGGTTTCATACTCCATTTCTGTCTCTTTAACTATCTCCTTTATCTCTTCGTCCTCAACATTCTTGTGCTTTGGTTTCTTATTGTCTGACTAATCTGCCCGTGTACCTTTTACAGCCTCTGTTTACGTTTTTCCTTTGCCCACATAACTTTGATGATGATAATCCACCCTTCTATGATCTTTTCTTCTCCAAAAGTTACTGCTCATCTTGCCACTAAATTGCCTTTTATACTTTGCCAAACTCACTTTTAGGTTCCAACCCTTCCATACTATTCCGTCCGATGCCCTGATGACATTCAATGCTTCCCTCATGTCTTTGAATCTCACAAAGCCAAACCTGCTTCGTCTTGATCTCCTTCTATATACAGGGATGTAGAAGTCCATTATTGTGCCAGGCTTCTTTATAAGATCCCATAGGTCAACATCCTTACTTTGTGGGTGCATATTGTCCACGAATATAGAAACCAACTTCCTTGTCCATTGAACATTCTCCTCTAAAAAGCATCTGAATTTCGAAAATGACTGTGGCTATGCTCAGGGATTTAAATTGCGATAACGGTCATGTTTTTTATTGTATCGCGTTAATCACGATTACAAATATAACAAAGACTTTTACAGTCATTACGGCTATTACGAACGTGAATTTTTTTTAATTTTGCTTAACTTGCGATAAAATATAATAATTTTAATTATTAATCATAAAATCTCTTATTTTATGATTTTTAAAGTAATTTATATCATGTCATGTGTTTTATTTATTTAAAAAAATATTTATAGTAAAATATTCATATTTAAAAAATTACTCATATGATAATTAAAAAATAACAAGAGATAAAAAATATATGAAAAATAAATAATCATAAGGAATGATATATTTAATTATTTAATTATCATACTCATCAAATTATTATCGAACTATATTGCGTATAAATCATCTAACAAGTGATTAGACATCATATATTAAGCAAGAGCATTACTATTTATGGGCTTACAGTAAATCAAACTTTGTAGCCTCCCTATTAAGGGCAATCTTCAACAATAATAGCCTTAAGTCTATTTTCCTTTACCTCTTGACTAAATTGCATAGATCCATACAACTTTTCATCCCCTCACCTTGCATTCAATAAATTTTTTCTTCAAACCTTCATCCTTATCCCCATCTCTCAGCTTCCTTTTTTTTTTTTTTGTGCTATATGCTCGTCTCCCTCAATCTCAAGTCTCACTTTCATCTCTTGTCTCTCATTTTAAGTCCTAGCAACTCCTTAGTAGTGCACCGGAACTCAGTCCAATCCCAAACACATAAAATCACGATAAATTTTGAAATTAAAAAAAAAAAAGTAATTTGAGTATTGAATTAATTGCTTACTTTAAACTACATGTACTTAATCTTGATTGAAGTTGAATTTGAGAGAATTGATATCTTTGAAAGTTTAAGTTTTGTGGGTTTTTTTTCCCTAAAATTATGAATTAATGTTTATTTTTTGGCTTGCTATTTTTATTTTAAGTTTTTAACCAAAGTCAAATAAAAAAATTTTTGAATTTTTGAATGAAAAACGGAGTAGCGGGCAACAATGGACCGCTATTGCCACTATTCAACATTACACCGCAAGTCATGGCCACGATACACCGTTATTGATGAGATTTAAATTCTCTTTCGTTTTTTCTTTAGCAACAGTAATGGATGGTGGCGCTACCACAAAATAGCGGCTGCTATATTACTATCCGACTGTTATTTGAAACCTAGGCTATGCTCCATATTGTTAAACATCCAACTCATTATCAATTGACAATAAGTGAAAAGGTCCAACCTGAATATAAAATTATAGGCTTAAATATAAGACTATAGATATCAGATAACCTATATTAATAGGCCTTCATCACGTATAAGCGAAAATAGAAAAAGCCTTCCTCGTGAAAAATTAAGAAAAGGCAATGAAAATATTTTTTTGACTCTAATATCATATTAAGCATCTCACTCATTACTAATTAACAGTAAGTGAAAAGATTTAATCTGAATATAAAACTATAAGATATCAAAAATTTATTAAACATGGGATAATTCACTTTAACACCTACCATTCCAAAAGCCCTTTCTCTCTCTCTTTCACTCACTCACTCTCTTTCTCAATCTCTCTCTCTCATCCTTACTCTATGGTTAATTCTCTTTGATATTCTTAAATACAATAATAATAATAATAATAATAAAATTGTTTAATATTTTTTACAAAAATTTGTGTCGCTTTTGCAGAAAAATTACTACCAAATATCATTATATACTCATAATTCTTTCCCTAGCTAATCATATTTATAGACCAGGAATTTTTTTTTATCTTTGTTAGTAAAAGTCTAATTGTGATTGAAGAAATTTAAGGCTGACATCTTTTTTTTTTTATGGGATATAGTAATTTAGAAGGACTATAAAACACTTCTCTATTAAAAGATCTTAGAATAAATGATGAGTGACTGGTTAATTAATTAAGTATGAAAATATAGATAGATGAATTGAACCTACTTATAGCTTTATGTATAAATTAACTGCAAATTGCAATGCCCTTCAATTTGTCAAGATCCATTCCCCTTAGTTACTAAAAACAATTAGAATGTGAACTTTGCACTTCCTATATACAAAGCAAGGAAAGTGAAGGGACACATATTTATACACACACACACACACACATATATATATATATATACATATTTTCTTGTCACAATCATTCAAAGCAAATTGTCACATTAATTCTTGACCATCCATAAGAGCTTTTATACGTATCAGAAATTCAATGCAAAAAGAGGTTTAGATGAACAATTTCTAGGTAATGTTTTATTTGAATCTGAATATTTGATTCAATGATAAAGGTGTTTTAAAAAAATTAATATACAAAAGCGTAGTATAGATGATACACCAGGTCAAAGTACAATTTCTGCACTAGAAATTTTCTGGAACATTGAAGCATGGTGATGTTAGAAAGTTTGTAATTTGATTTGCTAGCCTTTTGAATAAATTCCAGATAGGGTATAATTTGTCAAGATCAATTCGCTTTTCTGCAAATTCATCAAAAGAATGTTAAATACAAGAGATATGAATCCATTTATAGCATGCAATTTAACTGCCCTGGAAAAGGAGAAAAAAATTTTAACTTGGGACTTTGAGTTGAGATAGAGGTTGATTTTCAACCTCTAAAATTAACAAATCTGATATCAGAATGTTTACTCCATTTTTCTCAAGATCCATTCCCCTGGATGCAAACAGACAATGGAATTAAGTATGTACCTGCTGACCTGTTGTAGTCACGGAGAAAAAGCGATGAGGAAAATGGTATAAAATCTGAACCCAGGTTCATCAATTTTTTTTTTTTTTTTCACCGCCATGGTTGAAAATTTGGTGTGTTGAAGGCCTAAGGGGTTGCTTTCTGAGGCTGATGTTTCTCCAACTGTGTTGTACATTTGCTAGACATTTCGACCATCAGCTTGAATTATTGCCTTCTTTTGTCAAGATCCATTCCCTTAGTTGCTATCTGACAAACTCCTTGAGGATTTTTTTTTTACTCTATTGGTTATAATCAATTACACTTGGGAAGAATAAAAAAAAGAGAGAGAAGAAGAAGGATTACAAATTAGACCAAGAAAGTCAATGATCTTGATAGTGTGAACTTAAAAATAAAAAGCCAAATATAACGCAGGTGACTGTCTAAAAGGTGAAAACGATACAATAAAAAAATATATTTTTAAATAATGTAATGCCAAATTAATACGTTGATTTATTTTTTTATTAAACAAGTTCGAAATCAAGAGAAAAATACACCCACTTATCATTAGTTAAGGGCTCAAGTTTACACGTTAAATTGATTATTTTGCATTTTTAATTCGAAAGTTATATTTCATTTCACCACAAGAAATGTTATATTGAATAATAAAAATTTTAATTAGATTCGAATCCTTAGAATCCATTAGTTCGATTTGATTAAAAAAAGTCAATAATTATGAAAAATAGTTACATGAAGTTCAATAGGTGAAGTTTGTAAAGTTTTTTAATTAAAAATGAATAAATAAAAACTAAAATTAAAATTTTAAATTAATAAATTTAAATATCTCATTACATAGATCAAAATACAAAATTTTTTAAAAAATTAATAAATTTTAATAATTTATTAAATAGATATTTTTAGTAAAAAAATTAAAAGAATTTTTATCATTGAATAAATATATATCAAATTTGAGTTACAAATAATATTTTTAAATTTTTTTTAAATATTATTGATCTTTATGTTGAACTCTATTAATCTATTAACTTGGATTTTTTATTAAAGTTTTTATTTACTCATTTGTAATAAAAAATTTCATAAACTTCACCTATAAAATTTTATATAAGTTTTGTTCATAATTTATATTCAATTTGATCTAAATCTGAAATAATCAAATATGAAAGGATAAAAATCTCAAATAATTCAAAAAAATAATCCAAATGATTTTAAATTAAATTAAATTAAATTTATTTTAAAACTCATCATTTAAATTTCAATCCAAAACGACCCGAAGTTTCTTCATGAAATGATTTAGTCTGAATAATTAAATCCAAACTTAATCCATACCATTGCCACCTTTTTTTTTTTCTTCCTAAGCCAAATTTATTTAAGCAACTAGAAGGAAATGAATCTAGCAATAGCTAGCAACCCCAAAATGAAAACAGAAGAACAAACCACACTAGCAGATAGACATTACCATCTTTATCGAAGGAAACGAAATTTGAATTAGCTTTTCGAAGCGAAGAAATTCATTTGAAAAGATAGCTAATCAAATTCTTTCGCCATGGCAAGCAAGGCAAGGCAGAAAATGGGAAATTGAATGAGTTATGGAGCTCCTAGAAAGGCCGTATTTTGCATAGCCAACTGTATTTGTTAGCAAAAGTGCAACAATTAAATAAATTACACCCTCAGCAGTAGGTTGACGAGTATGATCCAACAATTAATCACTCAACATGTACAAGGAATACGAGAAGGATTACTTTAATTCTTTATATATATATATATACCCTCAAAGATTTCCTTTAATTTTTTTTTCAACAAAAGCTGCCATTTTTTATCTTCTTTTTTGGCTACACAAAAGGAAAAATTTCAACCGATCTTCAGAAAGTGTCACAAAATTTTGGCCGTCCCCATTACTTTTTGGCTACTCCATAAAATTTCTTGATGTTAGATTTTGAACCAATTAATTTTTATTTCTTTTTTGAGTGAGACCATGGTTGCGTTCAAGATCAGCATGAACAAGAAAGATTTTCACAAATCATTCCTGAAACACCTTGGAGAGTTAGGAAACATTCTGACTGGCTTTGGACCCTTTTTCTTGTTTCAATTTGCTGCATAAAAATTATTAATTTTTAGATTTTCTTTTACTTTTCTTCATAATAGTAAATAAGATAAGTCTCCTGCGTGTCCTTAACCAATATA